GTGAAATTTACAACTGTCAGTCAAATCGAAGTGAGGTCTAGGGGCACCAAAATAACGCGAACGTTTGGCGGGATATTTGCATGACGGATTACAGTTGAATCTCCCATAAGCGGACACCCTTGGGAAACGAAAAAAGTGTCCGCAATTAGAAATGCCCGTTCTTGTTTAATAGTGAAAATAATTCCTGATGATGGTTAACAGTAGTGATTAAGAAAGTGTGACTCAATGATTAAGCGATTTATTACTGTATGTATTACAATATATTGTTTTCAATAAATGTTAAAAGAGCTTTGTTTTCTCTAGGAGTAGCCTGGAGGCCAGTAGAAGACTTACTACTGTATTTTTTGCTCGGCTTCAAAAAAAAAAAAAAAAAAAAAAAAATTGAGACTTGAATGTCCTGCGTTGCTGACAAGTTTTTAAAAAGAGCCAGCGGTCTAAAACCCTTACTCTGTTTAAGACACTAAAAAGTGAAAATCCATACCCTGTTCTTCCAAATAGGAAAAAATACGGAATCGCTATCTTAGCCGCAACCATCAAAACTGAAATTTTATTATATGCCAATAGTAAGTAGTGTTTTACCGGAAACTAAAATACTCCTATTCTCCATATTTTCACTAAAGTTATGTACCAAAATGTCCCGGATGTACGCGCGCGTCAAATCAAAACAACTTTCCCGCCCATTTCTCGTCGCTTGTTCACTGAGTTAAATATGGCTGCTCGATTTGTAGAAATCTCAGAGAAAGACGTGGATAAATTTTCAAAAGAAAATGAGAACCAAAACACAATGAAGAAAAGAGAATACGACCTTCGAATATTCAGGGAATACATGGCCTCTTTGAAACGAAGACAGGGAGATAGAAACACTGATGTTTTCTGAGCTTCAAGTTCAAAATATTCTTATGAAGTTCGTGAAAAGAAGAAGAATTATCGTCGAATCCTCTAGCGAGGAGAGCAGCCAAAGTCAGTAAGCTTAAAATTAAAAGAGACATTTTTTTTATATTTTGATAGCAATATTTTTAATAGGTGAATTTTATTCAGTTGTGCCGCTGCGCTAACTCGTAAAATATTGTTTCCACCACTCGAAAATAAAATCCATATTTTCGCGCCACCGTGTAATACCCTGTTGAGGACAGCAAGGACAAAAACCATATACTATATGGGAGTACCCCCCCAACCAAAGATTTTTATTATGGGAAAGCGCACTAACATAGTAGGAGGCTATGAACCATAAGTGTCGTTGCCCCTCCCCCTTTTTTGCAGTTTTTGGTAAAAAAATAAATTCTCGTACATTTATTTTTTAACAAATAAATTTTCTAAAAATAAGAAAGGAAAGTGAATTAGCTAGTTTCCTAATGAATTCTCTAATTTTATTGGAAAATTTCTATTTGATACGGGATCAATTGTGAATCGCTAAAAATTGTTGCGTCCACTTACAAGGAAGTCCGCTTAATAGAAAGTATAAATACAGTGTTTGTATTGGAGGAAAAACCTCGGCTTTTAAACGCTGTCCATAAGTAGAACTGTCCGCACTTAAGCGTCCGAGAGATTCGAATGTAGTTTGTATGCGTATCAAATAGAAATTTCTCAATAAAATAGTATTAGAGTATTAATTAGGAAACTAGCTAATTCACTTGTTTCTTTCTTATTTTTAGAAGATTTACTTATTTAAAAAAAATGTACGCGAATGTACTTTTTTACCAAAAAAGGGGGGGAGGTGCAACGCGCCCTCCCCAGGCCCTTCCTTTAAACCCGCATCTAAGGTCAGTGTTGGTGCGATTCCAAATGTATTCTGCAACTTCTATCTTTTTATGTAATGAAAATGCAGATGGCATGCAAGTTATAGTCTGACATTCAGCGTTCAGATGGCATCTGATTTTGGCCCTCAAGAGGAACAATGAACGTACCGAAACAAGTCGACTGGCCCTCCGAACACTGAACACCCCGAATTTAGTTGCGCAGGTCCCGATTCGATAATTTTTTCTATAGACAGCAATTCAAAGAAAATCACAGACAATTAGATCATGTAGATGTAGTTCCTTAGTGCATTTGCAATTTTATTCATGCACATAGTAGTTTAGTACAACGCACTGGTATATAAGAATCACGTGTCAATCTTGTAGAAATTACAAAATGTTTTTTTGAATTATAAGAAATCTGAATAATTCAATGTAAAACGTTTCAAATTTCAGCAAATCGAAAAGAGTTTCTAATGCCATTGGATGACTGTATACCTTAGTTCATCATAGGATGACTGTATAGCTTAGTTCGTTAGACTACTGGCTATGTACATTATCTTAGTTCATCATTAGCTCACTGTATATCCTCAATTCATCTTTTGATATATTTTGATTTAAAATCTATTTCATACTCAGACTTTCTAGCATGCTACGATCATTTTAGTTTTGGTGCAATAGGCTTAGTGCTCATTGAAGTGGCTCAATATTTTCATTTTTATAACTTTTCGGATCTTCTCAATGCGTTTCAATATGATGATCGGGTTAAATATAGATTGCAGATGGACGATTGTTATTGAGATGTGTATGGCTGTGAGTTCGAATTCTTGAGTAGCCTCTTTTCCTTTGAACATGTAGACGATGTTAACGATGATAAAGGGAAAATATAGCATGGTCGATGTTAGAACTAAAACTCCCAATGCAAATGCTCGCTTGTAATCTTTAATCCGATGCTTTTGCTGCTTTTGAGTCTCTTGTGCTGCTGGCTGTTTCTTTTTGAAATATGCTGTGATATGTACTCTGGCTGTACAGTATATGGTTACAAGGACATTTCCCAAAACGAATCTGAGGGGTGGTAATTTCTTTAAGGTTTGTGAGTTGTCTAGAAGGATTCTGAGTCCTATCATACTTGATGGAAGGTAAACCCATATGGCGATTGCTATGAACATGACTCTCCTTGCTCTAACTTGAACATGGTGAAAGAAAGGCAACTGTATAGCAAGATATCTTTCTACACTTGTCATCATCAAAGTACATAATGCCATTCCGCCGCAAAATGCAATCGTTAACACGTAAACTGCAAATAGTAAGCATGGTGTTCCAAGCCCTTTGATTAAAACTACTAAGCACAAACAGAACAAAGGCTCTGCCACTAGTCCCACTATTAGATCAGTCACGGCTAAGGATGCGAGTAAGATGTTATAAGCTTTTGATCGGAGCTGATGATCACCTAATATTCCCCAGATTATCAAGGCGTTGAAAATCGCCGTAAGAGGCGCGGCGAATCCATTTACAATAGCGATGACAGTCCATACTGTTACCACAGAATCTGGCAAATCTGTGATGTTGTAGTGGCTGATTACTGTTGCAATGAAACAAGTCACTGTGCTATTAGAGGTAGGGGACATGGTGTGTCTTCTGAAGATCTCAGACTGTATACAGTGACTGCACACTAAAGTTTCGTGCAGAAAAACAGGATGGAGATTCTGCTTTTCAATTCACTTTTACCAAATAGTGACGTTTTTTATATCCGGCACTATAATCGTGGTCGATTACTTCTTTGTGTTTTTGAAACTATTTTTAGTNAATGTTTTCCCTCGAATCCGAAATATCCAGACACTTAAATCCAGAATCCGCGGCAATGGAAACGGAATCCGACAAAACAAGAGAAATCTAAATTGTTTACTTCAAACTTTTCCTAGCATGCTTACATTCTTAATCAATTATCATGACGRTGTCCATAATTCTTGMAAATACTTGCAATTCGAATCCGGTRTCTATCCGAGACTAACATTAGYGGTMTAGAAAATAGAAGTATATTWAMAAAAATTCATCTAAGACCGAAGAACCCGACCGAGCTTGTCCCTCTCTTACTTCTTTATCGCCCTTTTGCCTTGCCATTWCTCATCAGATCACATCAAGAGGGTTGTACTTAGGTCATGAACCGTCCCGACTRCTGGGTGAAAACTTTGGRACTTTTTAATCATCAACAAAGTAAATTCCTCTAATTTTCGGGGAATCTCGTTTCTGGACAGCTAGATAGAAGGTGCTCCTCGAACTAAATACTGAGTACTCTACTATTGTATCTCAGAAATAAAAACRAGCCCGCACTCTGTCAAATGCACTTGCCAAGTCAGTGATTTTGTCCTAACCCTGAATGCAAGGAGCACCGCTCAGAGAGTACTCTCGCCATGCAAATTAACTATTACGTTTGTACTTTTATCAAGATGCGAATTTATTTTCCCCAACCTAAACCACTTTAAACTCGTATGTGCATTTGGCAGTGTTTGCCGTGCGACTGGAGAGCATTGTCATTAATCACTATCAATTTCTAAACATGAAAACTGACATGTAGAAAGCCATAAATATATTACTGAAGGCTGACTGTTTTCAGATTTTCTTTGCAATACAAAGCTCTATGTTACCATAGACACTACATGGCATAATCGAAAACAAAAGACTTCCACGGCAACACCTTTGAAAGCAGGGAATGTTTCTCAGTGATTTTAATAATAGGCAAGGGGTAATATACCAAAGAAAACAGTCTTCTTGTAATTACCGCTATAGTATTTTTTTTCAAGCTGGAATATATGGCGTCAATTATTCAATTTTCTTTCAAAGCGTAAACAGAAGCTCGTGAGGGATCACACGCTTGACGATATCGTTTAAAATCGACATTTATTCGACATCTTATTAATTATTTACYTCGAGACAGTAAATAATCAGAATTAATATATGAATTATTTARAAATTGTTTATTTTACACAGTGTTTAATTCTCATAAAATAAAAAGGAATAAACTTGAACGCCTATTTTTCAACCGATCAAAATGATTATTGATCATCGCGGCCCTAACAACCTGAAAACCGCTCTTAACGAATACTAAACTCAAGTAGACGCTCATTGGTGGGGAGCGTTCGGGAAATATGACAAGTTTAAGTCATTTCTTTTGTTTCCGTTCGTTCGTATGCTAATGAGACTCACTTTAAAAGACCAAAAAGAAATTTATTCATGATGTTAAAAATCCTCTGCAAACATAAAAAAAAAATAGAACCTAATTTGCATGTTCTCAAACAGCTGGGAGTTGGCTTCGAAGTGCGACTTACCTTTTCAAATCCTTCGTTTTGTAGTATTTTTTGAAGGTAACTTCACATAAAAATCGTGTCGTTTTAATAGAAAAGACTGATATTTCTCCTGCTGTTCTAAATAGAGGTCTTTTTATTCACATACATTTTCAGTTAGATAGATCACTTACAGAGTCCTGTGTTTATCTTTTTTTTCTTTAGCTTTCAAAGAATACATCGACTGAAATTGAGATGGCGCTTAGCTGTGGAATGCAATGTATGAAATATCTCCTTTTTGCCTTCAATTTGGTATTCTGGGTAAGTYGACCCTACCTGTATTATTATTAGGGCACAATATTTTATTCTTGTTAAGGTTTTATTACATGGTTATAGAGCATAGTTTTAGCAACAGTAGTATCGCTTGCTATAAATCATTTAACTTCACGTTCACTTTCTAACCACCTTATTTTAAGCGATATTTTATCTTGTGAAAACAATTATTTAGGAAAATCCTTGATCTACACGAAAAGTTTGAGCTTCACCGAAAGTTATCTCGTCGACTGTCATTTTGAATTGTGATATTTTTCTTTGATTCACCGCTTGGATTTCGAGAAAGGGCTAATTTTGTTGAGACTCCAATGTGATTATTTGATTTTAAGGTCTATGGCCGGATCAATACGGCAAATCGAATTTACTGTACAAACTGGAGCTAATGTAAATTCACATCGACCGAGAAAGACCACGGAATTAAGTCAATAAAACCTGAATAGATAGATTAAACATGGCATCTTCGATGAAAAAAWGCCCTCCACCCTTCTCTGTTACTAAATCTCTYTTTGTGGTTCGCAGATTATAATAATTATACAAAGTAGACTTCAAAAATGACAACCGAAAAGAAATTATAATCATTTCTTTTTAGAATTCAATTCAAAGACCAATTGGTCGTCATTTCCAGATGCGAGCTTCTGTTTGCATAGTTTGTTTGTAAATTAATGTAGTGTCGCATCGTTAAACCCGCAATATACTTTTTCCCGAGGATTCCTCAATGATAAGCCTTCTAGATTTAACATGAAAGGTTAAGCTTTTATTGTTTAGTCTTTTGAAGTGATAATTCATCGATTTAGTCTGCAAATATCGCTATAATTGTACAAAAAGTAATGAATTTTAGATGAGTTCAGAAGCGAGGGAAATTTAGCAAAAGCAGATGTTAGTAGAGTCTAAGCGAGACTCGCGCTGAGAGAAATAACCGATGTAATCAAAAGCTCTGCCAAATATATATCTTATCATTCCTTAAACCCAAAGAACAGCTTAATATAACCATGATTATTGAAGTAACTTAGATATATTTGGCTTACAACCACTGAATGTTGTGGTCAAATCTGAGCCGGGTTGATGCCGCGACATAGATTAAACAACAATCGCTTTGRGTATAGTCAGTGTCTCATTATTAAACGTCAGTGAAATCATTTTTTGACTTCATTCAGAAGTGACAAGAGTTGATTGCTTGATCACTGTTGGTTGGTAGGAAGAAATGATTGTTTGATCAGCGGCAGCTGTTGCCATGCTGCAAAGACGATTAATACCGCGTAGAGCATATTATTTGTTCGCTGGTGAATATGGACTATTAAAAAAGGATATGTATAAAAAAAAAGAAAAAAAAGTATGACATTAGTACAATTACCGTTTAAAGCTAGAATACATWTAGCATTTTCTATTATTTTTAGATAAAAAAAATATAGTCTATAATGTGTAGTTKGAACAAATTCATTGCGTAAAATAGACAGAATTTAGAAAATCTCTTGCCATCATCTCTTTCATTTGACAGTCTTCTAATTATAAGTGTTTGGCCGCAGATAATAATCCATACATCGCGCATTTTATATAATATATGAAAAAAAAAAAAAAACAGATCTGCCTGACTAAGCCGAATTATAAGTAACCTATATTGAATTTTCACAAGCGCTGAAAATAAGCAAGTTCAAATGAGATACCGCTAGAGATGAAATCAAAATAATTGTAGTATTTCATATGGAAAGCCTATGAAATATAAATACCACAAAGAAATATAAATTGATAATTTCTTGCGAACTACAGCATACTCAAATTTTTTTTCAAACTATTGTTCCAAATTGATTAGAACATTTCCGTTAATTTTTGCTAACAACTTTGATATATAATTCATTGTTGTCATACCAAGTAACGATTGAGCTTAAATAACCAAACACACAAATAAACATCTAAAATAATGAATTAAACAAATTGTAATTTGAAGCAACATAATAAAACGTTTATTAAGTCGTATACAGGTATTTTGTAAATATGTATCATGAGCCTGATGATCACACAAGTTGCGTGAAACTCGAGTAGTTTTTGGTCCTTGAAAACATAAATATATATTGCACTCTACATACTGTATTGAGCACTCTTTACCGACACGAGACAAACACACTTTCACTTTATATATCAGGCTAGTAATGCAGTTTATGTTTTTGAAGTGATCCCCGATCCAATGTCTAAATKTATGATCCTTGATCCTGAAACAATKACAATTTTTGATCCCCGTTCTTTGCCAAAGTTTTGTGACCCATGATTCCTAGACAYTGATCCAGATCCATAATCAAARACTCTAGTAACGCTRATCCCAAAGCCCGARCAAATGRAGAAAATGTGATCACTGACCCCTAAAATAGCGCTTATTCCTCATCTCATTATTACCCATGGTAGATATATCACAAATGCCCAACCATCATATGACATATCATAACAAATTATCATCAGGTTTCAATTTAGACTCCAAAGCAATTAGTTATATTAATAGCTTTGCTACTATTCTCAGTCCGGTAAAGCCCGCGCTATATTACAACATTTCCCTCATGGCAAAATATATATATATAACTAACATGAACTAAACAAAACCCCAGCAATAATCAACAACTTGCTTACGGCTTTCAGTTGTATGTCCTCTTTTGAAACACTCTTGACGTCGTTAAATCTCCAAATCTCAACTGGACTCATAAGTGTAGTGAATCATATAGGTTTAGTGCAAATAATCTGAATAATGGACATTTTAAAGCTGTCAAAAAATATATAAAACGTGTTAAATTTTATTTTTTCTGATTGCATGCGTTATTAACATTTTTTAGTCTAGTAAAAATTGAAAAAAGCATTTCTTTTTTTTAACTGCGGGCGAGACGTGTCAGAAGAGTTTGAATTTCCTGTCATTTGCACACATTTCACACAGTAGTGAAAAGTAAATATACTATCCGGCTTTGCTTTGTTCATTTGAAGATTATGTTTTTGAAAGGTACATAATGATGCAACCATTAATCGCGCCACTACTATGATGGTCACCTGAATGACTTGAGTGAGAAAAAAGGCACAGCAAGAGAGCTAAAATTTATATTACATGATGTGTATTTTCAGTTATACATGCGTACTCGCTTTTTACTGAGGATTTCTGTTTAATTTGTTTCTAGCTTTTTGTTCTTCATGACAAGATTCTCGATCATGCATGCATGATTCTTTGTTGTTTTTGAAACAAAAAACAGAATTATTATATTGCATTACGCGCTTCAAGGCAAAGGGATAAATTGGCGAGACTAGCATGATTTAGTAGAGTGTAGAACCGTCGACTTTTGTCTTTTTTGACTTGTAATAAATATTGTTTTATAAAATATAAATAACTCCAAAAGCATAGAAATAGATATTTGAACATAAAATATATAAAGAAGAATCTATCCATTTCTTCTTTTTTTGTAATTGTTTTTTTTTTTTCATCTTGAATACATAGCCAATCTCTTGTGACGGTTACGGATCCATCACCAGTATAGATATATACACAAATTAACGAATAAGTAACATTAGCAACAACAATAAAACTTTATTTTTYACTTTTCTKYTKKKYTTTTTSGTGTATGTGTTTTTGATTTTTTTKTKTTKKKTWYGKT